TATATGTGTGTGAATAAAAGGCCGAACGGTCATTCACTGTCCCTGGGTGCGTGGCTGAAGTGGGGTTCAGCGGAACGGATTGTTGTTGAGTTTTCAGTTCCAAAGAATAATGTTGTGGATATCCCCTCCAGTAATCACCGTACATTTTCAATGTAAGTGCCCCCCTCGGGGCTCGCACCCTGCTTCTTTCAATGGAAAGCTGGGTGTCACCAAATTGCGCTCTTGGCCCCCGAGTTACAACAACAACGACTCCCGCCTGATACGTCCTCACAATGTATTTCACAATCGCTCTCTCGCGCGGAAGTTCCTCACAAGTCATGCAGGAATCGCGCTCTCGCGTGGGACTTTCTCGCAATTTATTCAGACGCCGCGCCCTCGGCACTCAGAAATCACCACTTGGGAATCGCGCCATCGCTCGAGCCCTCCTCACGATTGAGGCAGTACCCGCGCTTCATAAACACGTCCTCTCGACCTGGCCGCTAGGGCCCGCCTTCCCGACCCGCCCGTCAGGGTCTGCCCGCCTGATGTGCCCGTCTGGTTCTGCCACGTGTTTTCTGCTCCTAGCCCCCCTCCTGTTACTCTCTCTCGTACTGCATCCTCCTCCCTCCCCCTGGCCCCTTCCTCCCATCCGTCCTCTCTTCCCTGCCTTAGGGGCTGCACGAAAAACACGCTACAGGTAGGAAAGATATACTCCCCAAGGGTGTACGATCGAAGACGAAAAGGTCGGGTATCGAGGGGTTTGGGATGTTCGTGTTGAATGGCCCGCCTGATGTGCCTGTCTGGTTCTGCCACGTGATTTCTGCTCCTAGCCCCTTTCTGCTAATGCTGTGCTCGATCCTTCTCCCGCCCCCTTCCGTCCGTCCTCGCTTCCCCGGTTTCAGGGGCTGCGCCATTGACGCGCGGCAGGTAAGGAACATATGCCCTTAATTCGGGGGGCTACGATCGAAGACGAAGGGCGGGTATCGAGGGTCTGGGATATACGTGCTGAGTTGCACGCGAGCAGGAAAGATCGAACAGGATTAAAAGTACGGTTGTTGCTGATGTGGTTGTTGTTGTTGCTGTTGGTGTTGTTGCTGGTGTTGAATTTTCATTTCTAACGGCTGAGTATTGTTGATCCCCCCTCCGGGGCACATTGTGTTTTTCAATTGGAGTGCTTTTCCGGGGCTCGCACCCTGTTTTTTTTCCAAGGGGAAGCGAGGGGTCACCAAATTTCGCCTTTCCCCCCTCAGTTACAACAGCGACTCCCGCCGAATACCTCCTCACGATGTGTTTGAAAGTCGCGCTCTCGTGCGGGACTTCCTCACAATGTATACCGGAATCGCGCTCTCGCGTGAGAGTTCCTCGCAAATTATTCAAACGCAGCGTTCTCGACACAGGAATCACGCTCTCTCTCTCTCTCTGTCTCTCTCTCTCTCTCTCTCTCTCTCCCTCCCTCCCTCTCTCTTTAGATTTACGCACGATTTATTTGGGAATCGCGCTGTCGCTCAAGAGTTCCTCCCGACTCATGCAGGGCGCACGCTTCAGCAATCCGCCTGCTCGACCTGGCCGCCTGGGCCCGTCTTCTCGACCCGCCCGTCAGGGTCTACCAACCCGATTTGCCCGTCTTGTTTTGCCACATGTTTTCTGCTCCTAGCCCCCCTCCTGCTACTCTCTCTCTCTCTCTCGTACTGCATCCTCCTCCCTCCCCCTGGCCCCTTCCTCCCATCCGTCCTCTCTTCCCTGCCTGAGGGGCTGCACGAAAAACACGCTGCACCCCCCAAAGGTGTACGATCGAAGACGAAAAGGTCGGGTATCGATGGGGTGTGGGATATTCGTGTTGAATGGCCCGCGAGCAGAACAGAACGAGCAGTCTTAAAATGATGGTTGTTGTTGGTATTGCTGCTGCTGCTGTTTCTGTCGTGGTTGTTGCTGCTGTTGTTGTTGAATTCTCATTTCTGAATGATTGTTGTGGGTCCCTGCTCCCCGGTAATCATTGTATGTTTCGATTCAAGTGTTGCTCCCGGGGCTCGCATCCTGTTTTCTTTTTGTTGCATCAACTGTTCTGGCGCGGTGAACGTCACGCACATAGCAGTCACGATGTGGTCTAGACCACGCGCTTGATACATCCTTGCTTCCGGTCGGAGTTCAGTTGGCGATCTCCTAGTCAGCTCCTGGTCCAGATGGCTATCCCGTGGCAAGCCTGATCTCCCGATGGTTACCCCGTGGCCATCCAGGAGCCCAGATGGCTATCCCGTGGCCATCCAGGCGCCCAGATGGCTATCCCGTGGCCATCCTGAGGCCCAGATGGCTATCCCGTGGCCATCCTGAGGCCCAGATGGCTATCCCGTGGCAATCCCTGGCCCCAGATGGCTACCCGGTGGCATTCCAGAGGCTCTAGATGGCCACCCCGTGGCAATCCTGAGGCCCAGATGGATATCCCGTGGCAATCCTGAGGCCCAGAAGGCTACCTCGCAGCAGTCCTAGGCCCCAGGTGGCTATCCCGTGGCAATCCTAGGCCCAGATGGCTACCCCGTGGCAATCCAGCGGCCCCAGATGGCTGTTATCCCGTGGGAATCCTAGGCCTTAGATGGCTACCCCGTGGCAATCCAGGGGGGGCGGGGGGGGGGGCGGCATGTGGCTATCCCGCGGCAATCCCAAGCCCCAAATGGTTACCCCGTGGCAATCCTGGGGGCCAGATGGCTATCCCGTGGCAATCCTGATACCCAGATGGCTACCCGTGGCAATCCACAAGGGGGGGGGGGGGGGGGGGGAGGGGGGCAGATGGCTGTCCCGCGGCAATCCTAGGCCTCAGATGGCTGCCCCGTGGCAATCCAGGGGGCCAGATTATTACCCCGTGGCAATCCCAGGCCCCAGATGGCTACCCCGCGGCAATCCAGGATCAGGAGGGGGGGGGGGGGGGGCAGTTGGCCATCCCGCGGCAATCCTGCGACCCTCGTGGCTACCCCATGGCAGTCCTGAGTCCCCGATGGCTTCCCCATGGCAATCCTGGGGCCCAAATAGTTATCCCGTGGCAATCCGAGGGCCCCTAGGGCTCCAGCGACGCCGGTTTGAAATCGGCGGCGCTGCCCCCCTTCTCGCGGGTCGCCCTGCATGGAACGACGTCTGCCCGTAGCAATTTGTGCTCAAGGTCTAGTTGGTGCTCGACACAATTGCACACCGCCCACCACTAGACCAAGAGCGAGAGAGAGAGAGAGAGAGAGAGAGAGAGAGAGAGAGAGAGAACGCCCTGAGTTGCTCTCGCAGTGTCGAGCCTGGGCGCCTCTTCTTCCGCCGACGGGGGCCAGCGACCTAACCCTGCCGGCGCCGCTGCGGCCGCGCGTGTGGCCGAGCGCACCATCGCCGAGATCGAGAGCGACAAGTGTGGCGACAGCGGCGCGCGCGCAGACTTCGCGGCTCGCTGCGGAGGCACGAGGTCGCCCCTGGAGCTCCTCGGCATCTGCGAGCAGCTCTACTGCGAGAACGCGGGCCCGCCTCTCGCTCGTGGGCGAGACGGGCCCGTGGACTATCGACCGCCGCCCCCTTAACGCAGAGGGGCTCGGCGACGAGGGCAGCGTCTCGCAGCGGGAGGACAGCGCCATTAAGATCGACATCGTCGACATTCGAAAGGGGCCATGGTACACGAAGTGCCCAGAGCACTTGAAGCGCGAAGTGCGTCCATGAACGCAATATGTGTTGTTCCACTAGGGCGCCCTGCTTGCGCGGGCAAGGCGAGCGTTCGCCATGGGCGTCCAGAAGAAGAAACGCACAGCGCAGCTTTCCGTCATGAACGGCGCGAAGGCGTGCAAGGAGGTCAATTTGCGCATGCTACAGGACGCCATCCGGTTTCTCCTCAACGTTGGCAGCCTCGTCAACGATCAGCAGACGCCGAAGACACGCGTGGAGATCTTGGGGGGGCGCCGACGACCTTGAGAAGGCGTGGGCGAAGAAGAAGGGCGCGAACGGTTCGTCTGCTCCAGCTACGGGTGGGCAGGTGTAGATCGAGGAGTACAAGTTCGAGTTCATCCAGATGTCGAAGGATTGGAGGGCGCATCGCAACTACGAGCTGTGCAACGCGTTTTACCAGGAGAGCGAGAAGATGTTCACCGACGGTGCTACCACTGTGTGGGCGGAGTTCAAGAGGCGCGCCCTTGCCGAGATTGCGCTGACTCACCCTATGGCGTCGAAGCATGAGCGGATCTTCACCCCTCGCATCTGTCCTTCGGAAGTTGCGCTACAACCGCCCTCAGTTCATCGTGGACGTCGTCGCGCAGTGCCTCCCCGAGACTCCTACACCAGGCAACGTCGGCAAGGGTTCCCTGCGCCCCGAAGGACTCGCACCCGCCGACGTTTTCAAGGAGGAGGCGGCAAGGCTTAACGCAGCGAGATGCCCCTCCAGGCTGCTCAGGAGGCGCAGCCAGTAGCGCAGCCAAACAGCGGGGCCGCGGGCGCCAAGGACGATGCGAGGGAACTTGAAAAGAGCCAGCAGAAAGCCGAGATGATCAAGATGAAAGCCCCGAAAGCAGACCTCGCCATCGACGAAGAGAACGGCGCGGAGTTTCTGTGCCACCTTCACGAGACCATCGAGTACACGATGAATATCGACTCGACGAGGGAAGGCGACATCGCGTCTTTCAAAGACCTTGCTACCCGCGGCTGTCTGATGGCATATGTTGAGGTTATGAAGGGCAGGGGCGCGTCCAAGCTGAGCGGGTTCTCAGCTCTTCGCAAGATGGCCCGCGCCACGCTGCACAAGAACGCGAACTTGGCGCCGAGGGCGTCTGCCCCAGATTTCCCCGGTGGCGAACGACCTCAGACGGAGGAAGAGCAGACTGCCTCGGCGACGGCGGCGGTCGAGGACACGGCGATCACAAGGGCTACAGCGGACGGGAAAGCAGAGGATAGGGGGCCCCAACCTATGCGCCACCACCGCCACCTCCCCCCCCCTCTCGCTGAAAAGAGGAGAGAGGAGGAATCGACGTGGTGGTGATGTAAATAAGCAGACGGTCTGCGCACCCTTGCAGGATGCGACGCTCGCCATTACCCAGGCTGCCATTGGGGAGGTGCGCGCGGCGATTCCAGCTGAGCGGGACATCATCGTAGACCTCATCGTCGAGGCAATGGCGCAGGACAAGCAGGGAGACCTCGCGCTCACCGGCTGGAGCAAACTACTCAAGCTGGACAACAACTTGTCCAACGGCTCCGTCTACCTCGACCTGTTGAGGGTGCAGTTGTGGATGCGCATGCGCAGCGTCCTCGGTTGGCAGCGGCGCGCTGTGCGCGAGGGTGCCGACCGGCAGAAACAAGCCAATTTCTTACCGCAGCGCGCGCGTCAATCGCTGCTGGAGGCGACGGGCGAGATCTAATCTAGTCGAGCGCGCCCCAGCCTTTCGATTTCAAGGCGCCCGAGAAGCTGAGCAACGTCGCCAAAAAGTTCACGGAGTACCTCGGCGTGCGGGGCAAGCTTGAGGCGGGCGCCAGCAAGCCCGCGCGTTGGGAGACGTGGGCCACGGCGTGGATTGAGGAGTCCTTCAGTTGCTGCGGCGTGGCAGTCGGGGCCGATGGGTTCGCGTGCGAAGTGAAGGAGGCACGCGGCCCGCGTGTTCTGCCGGGGGCGACGGCAGCGCAGATGAAGCACTTCGTCAAGAACAACATCAAGAAGGAGCTCAAGGTATCGGCGCAGATGGGCGTCTTCACGAACGAGAGGGACCAGGTGGTGAAATATACCATGGAAGCGATGGGCGCGGAGCACGCGGCGGAGTTAGCCTCCGAAGCGGTTCAATCGGCCCCGACGCAAATGATATTGAACCGAGTCGCGCCGCAGACCAAGCCGACGCCGAGGGGGCCCAAGTCGGACAAGAAGAAGGGGGCGAAGGCCATCCAGGACGGCGATAGCAACGATTATGACAAGAGCCGCGCTGTGGAGACGCCCTTGCTGCGAGATTGGTTCGCTCGGGTCCGAGAGCGAGTCCGCCAGGGCCGCGCGGGCCTCGGAGCCCTTGAAGAAGGCGATCACCGCCGCGGCGTCGGAGAAGATTGCGCAGGCGATGTTGGCCGAGGGCCCTTGCCCGAGAGGCTGCAAGCTGGCGCCCGACGTCAAGGGGGAGGAGACAGCGAAGGGCGCGAAGAAGACCACGGTCGATATCATTCGCAAGAACGCCCCCAACGCCACCGAGTGCAAGCTCCCATACTGGGGGAAGGTCGTGGACGGCAGCGTTGCCCTGCACTTGCCGAGGCAGCGGAAGCTTGCGCGCGGAGATGGGCCAGGCCTCTGGCTCTACGGGGCCCAGTTCCAGAATGTCAGGCGCAGCGACTTCCGCCCTGCGCGGCTCATCGCGCGCGCAGCCTTCGGACAAGGACCGGGGCAATGACAGGGACAATGACGCTGCTGCGCAGGAGCCGCCGAGGAAGAAGCAGCGGAAGTCGGCTCAGGGAGTGGAGCGCAACCCTCTCGAGACGCACGAAATTCACTTCGAGCCGATGCCGATCGAGATTACAGTGAATGGCGAGGCTCAGTTATTCGACTACACCGGGCCGCCCCTGAAGGGCGCCCCCGGCAAGTGCAAGGATGTGCACGGCACCCCGTGCCACCGCGGCGCGGTGGGCAGCGATGGGATGGGCATCCAGAAGAAGGCGAGCACGCCTGGGGGCCCCTCTGGCGTCGCAGCCCACCACGTGGGCAGCGGGGCTCCCAGGAGCGCAATTCAAAGCTGAGGGAGGGAGGGAGAGGACGTTGGAGGAAGGAGGGTGGAAGGGAGGAGGAGGAGCCACAGGAGGACAGGAAGGAAGAAGAGAAGGAGCACGCGCGTCGCGCATCTTTGGTCAGCAGCGCCACGCAGACGCGTCTATCTCTAGTAGATACGTAGGAATTGCTAAAACGCCAGATCGGAGACGCCCGAGACACGGCATCGCGGTTACCGTTTGCCCAGGGTCGCATGTTTATTTCCTCCTTCCACTTCTGCCACTCCTCCTCTCTGCTTCTGGCGATGGCTTGCTGGTGCCCCTCCCTCCGAGTCGCGCAGTGGCTCGTGGGTCTGCCGCAGCAGCGACTCGACGGCACGTCGCTCAGGACTTGGATCGTCTCCCTAGCGACGCAGAGTTCGCGAGTGGAAAAACGACAGAACAAGTTTCGTGTTCTGACCTGCCGGCGTTGGAATGTAGTTATCTTGAGATCAGGGAACCAACTGATTCAGGCCAAGGTTTGGTGAACCGAGTGTCTGGGCAGAAATCGCAGCGTCATCGAAAGCTTCTGAGTATACGAAACAACCCTCCAGGGAAAAAAACATTGAATATTTAAGGCCGGTGATTCGAAAACTGACCTGCTGAAATCGATGAAAAGCAACCCTGATTGGCAGCCCTAGGAGCCAGGAGGAGGCAACGTAGCCATCATTTTCCCCCGAACTCTTCACGTTAAACCCTTCCCAGATCCCCAGCTGTAGAGTATCCCGTTATCTCTCGTTGCCACTGTCTATCCCTATCCGCATCCCTGTCCCCATCCTTATCTATATCGACTGGCCTTCGGCCCATCCCGCCGCGGTGCCTGGGTTGCGGGTCAGAATTCTCAGGGACGCTTCTTGGGGTCTCTTTGGGGCGCTCTCGTGAGCCTTTTGGGGACAGTTTTGGGGCCTCTTGAGGCGTCTTGGGGGCCTCTTAGGGCCTTCTGGGGGCCGCTTAGGGCCTTCTGGGGGCCGCTTGTGGCCGAGGGCTCCAAATGTCCGTTCGGGTCCCGAGTTTGAGCCCCCTCTTGGAGCCGTCTTTGGGGCATATGCGGTCGTCTTGGGCGCCACGTGACGCCGTTTTGGGGCCTTCTTGGAAGCTTCTTGGGCCGTCTTGGGGCGATTTTGATGGCCTCTTGGGCCATTTTGGAGCGTCGGGAAGCCGAATAGAGGAGAACGCCAACAGTTTTTGAACTACCAATGAATGTGGCTCTTGTGGCCGCCTTTGGGAGGCCTCTTGGGCCGTCTTGGGCGTCTTAGGGGTGACCTTGGGGCGTCTCGGGGACCGCTTCGGCTGTCTCGAGTGCCTCTTCAGACCCCCCTGGCCTGTTTTGGGGTTGTTTTGTGACCGAACGCGGGAAGACGCGCCAGATCCCCGACAAGCCGCGACAAGCCCCGGTAGATTTGAGAGTGTGGGGCTCTGGGCCCCAACATATCCTAAGGGGTGAGGATTAAAGTTCACAGGATTAGGCAAAGGAGCTGAGGACACGCCCATTCCGTGCCCAGCGGCGCGGTGGCGGATCCTTATTCCCATGCCGCTATCCTTATCTCTTAGTGGTATCCCTATCCTACATCCCCATCCCCATCCCTATCCCTATATCCCTTTCCCTCTGTCCCTAGCCTCGAGTCCCTAGCCCTATATCCATATCCCTATGTCCCTGGCCCTGTATCCCCAGGCCTGTGTCCCTGTCCCTCTGTTCCTATATATCTCCGGCCCTGTAGCCACATCCGTACGTCCCTGAGCCCTGCAGCACTATACCGATCCCTATCCCGATCCCCCTTGTCGTGCCCCCCCACGGTTGGCCCCCCGAGACGCTGCCCCTCGGGGGGATGCACGGTTTCCCCCGGGGCCGTGGGCGACCCGAGGAGGAGGAGGAGGAGGAGGAGGAGGAGGAGGAGGAGAAGGACGAAGAGGAAAAGGACGAAGAGGAAAGGAGGAGGAGCAGGAGGAGGAGGAGGAGGAGGAGGAGGGGGAGGGGACCAGATCTCAAGAACGACCCGGAACCAGAACACCTCGTGAGTACAACACACGGCAATGTTTCCCCTCCTTGACTCCCTGGCCCTATCCCGAAGCCCCTTTCGTGGCCCCCATCGTACTTGTGTGAAGCTTCATTGAGGATAGAAAAAGCCCCTTAACCAAGGGCTCCCACGAGGGCGCGAAGTTATTCGCGGTTCGCGCTTCGCGGTCCTCGTTCCTCCTCCCCCTCCTCCTCGTCCTCCTCTTCTCCCCCTTGGGGGGCGGCGCGAGAGCGCGAAGTTATTCGCGCTTCGCGCTTCGCGCAGCGCGAAGCGCGAACTTAGGAGCCCTTGCTTAACCCTGATAACACAGAAGACGTGGCCTTATCCATTTGGGCGGTTTGGTTCGAGGCATCTGCAGAAATGGAGCCCCCATCCCTGCTGTGTTCGGCCCTCCTAGCTCAGGTCCCCTCCCACAGGGTCAGTGGTCCGTGTGTTGGTTCGTCAGAGCTGCTTAGGGCACTCTGCCGCAAGGGCTCCGCTCGTCCTCCTCGTCCTCCTCGTCCTCCTCCTCCTCCTCCTCCTCCTCCTCCTCCTCCTCCTCCTCCTCCTCCCTCTCCTCTCATTATCCCCACCTCTCCGCGTTGCATCAACGTCGGATCTCAGAGGGCTCCTGGCCAATCCAGAAGCGCGTGTGCGCCAACCCTGGGCGCGGGATCGGCCTGGCAGGGCTCGGTGCAGGTGCACCGCTGGCGCTCTCCGGACCTTCTGCAAAGACGTGAAGAGCGAGAAGGACTCCTATGACGACGATTTCGACGTCGTGTGGCGGAACACATCGATCACCACGGGGATGCAAGCCCTCTCGTTCGGCAAGGCGCGAGAGAGGGCATCGAATCGTGGCGCGCCCCCCGATCAAGGCCGTGGAGAGGGCGTCGAGTCGTGGCGCGCCCCCCGGTCAGGGCCGCCACCTTGCCGAGGGCCTACGAGTGCAAGAGCAACACAGTGAGGTGCAAGGCAGCGAGGTGCTACACCATGGAAAGCATGCTTCAGCATACCATAGCCTCGCATAGCACTGCCCAGCATATCACTGCAGTTGCTTCCCCTACCACGGCACAGTGTAGCATTGCATATGATGGCGAAACACAGCATGGCATCATGCAGCATTGGGCAGCAGCGTCGCGCAGCATACGCAGCCTTGATGATCTTCGCACGCCTCAGCATGGTGTAGCAGAACACCACTGTGCACCCCAGACCCCCGACGTCATGATTTTTTCATGACGCGACCCCCAGAACTCTGGACCCATTCCCCGGGACCGGCTCTTCATCCTGAGTCGTTTTTTGACGGCCCCGAGGCCCGGTAAGGGCCCCCAGAGGCCGAAAATAGCGAAAACCTCCCGTCGTGATTTTTTCATGACGCGAGGGGGTCTGGGACTGCAGAGATTACGCGCAAGGCAAAAAAAAAGACACGCAAGGCAAAAAAAAAAAGCACCACAGGCAAAATACATAGTTTTTGCCTGTGGAGCGTCGCCGACGCGGAGGGGAGCAGGGGAGCAGGGGAGCACCCCCCCCGCCTCGCGCGCGCTCTCCGGCAGGGTCCGGGGGCCCGACGCGCAAGGCAAAAAAAAAAAGCGCCACAGGCAAAAAAACAGGTCACGATTCCTTCTTTGGGCCCCAGGAGCGCCACAGGCAAAAACCCAGGTCACGATTCCTCCTTTGGGCCCCAGGAGCGCCACCGACGCGGAGGGGAGCAGGGGAGCAGGGGAGCACCCCCCCGCTCCGCGCGCGCTCTCCGGGCTGAGGAGGAGGAGGAGGAGGAGGAGGAGGAGGAGGAGGAGGAGGAAGAGGAGGAGGAGGAGGAGGAGGAGGAGGAGGAGGAGGAGAGGTGGAGGAGGAGGAGGAGGAGGAGGAGGAGGAGGAGGAGGAGGAGGAGGAGGAGGAGGAGGAGGAGGAGGGAGGAGGAGGAGGAGATGGAAGAGGAGAAGGAGGGGGAGGGGGAGGGGGAGGAGGAGGAGGAGGAGGAGGAGGAGGAGGAGGAGGAGGAGGAGGAGCAGGAGGAGGAGGAAGAGGAGGAGGAAAAACAGGAGAGAAGAAGAAGGAGGATGAGGAGATGAGGGTAGGCGGAATACGAGGAGGAGAGAGGAGGAGGAGGAGGAGGAGGAGGAGGAGGAGGAGGAGGAGGAAAAGGAGAGAAAAGGAAGGAGAGGAGAGGGGCGGAGAGTGAGGAGGAGGAGGAGGAGGAGGAGGAGGAGGGGACATAACAGAGCGTAGCGGTGTGGGGGTAACATCCCCCCCTCGAGAGCATAGGAGGGTGGGCGGGCTTGCGGTGTCCGAAACCATTTTGGCTCAAGGTTTCGGGCATCGTCCGCCGACCCCCTCTCCCGAGGGGAGGCGATCCCCCCTCGTCCTCTCCTTCTGCGCATGCCAGGGACCGAGGTGGCGGTCGCTCGCCTCACAGCAGGGGCGGCGGCGGACGAGGATTTCCCCAGCTTCGTCATCGTGGTCATCACGGTGACCATCCTGAGCTACACACTCCTCACGTGCGCGTGCGGGTGCTGCTGGGCCCGCAGTTGCCGGCACCGTGAGCAGCCTGCTAGCCTGCAGCTCCCGTCGGGCAGCAGGGTCCGTCTGTCAGGATGAGCATCGACCCGACAGCGACGGAGCAGGACAGCTTCACGTCCATCAACCCAGTCGCGGACTGGGCCGGGCTCGCAGGCGCGCACGGCGATTTGACCACCATGCGCGGCGCCTTGTTCCAGGCGCTGGGCGTGGACGGCTCGGAGCACCCGCGCATCATCGGCGCGCTGCAGGCCGCCGACTTCGACACCATCGTGAGGGCCGTGCAGGTTCGGGACCCAGGGGGCGCTGGCGGCGCTGGCGGACCTCCCCCATTGCTCGATCCCACTCCGGCACAGTTGTCCCAGGCTGGGCTATTGGGGAGGGCATGCAGAGTGACCGTGGGCACGCAGCCGTCAGCAGCCGCAGCAGCAGCGGCGCAGGCGGCAGCCCAGACGGCAGCAGCTCAGAGATCGCAGAGCGGCAATGGCCGCAAGGTGAAGATGGCGGGCACTATCAACCAGACCGACGACACAGAGGTCGACATCTTAGACGAACACGCCATCAAGATCGCGTACAAGAACTACCACGACAGGATCGGAGCCTTCCCGCCAGCAGAGGAGGAGCTGAGCAAAGAACAGCTGTCCACGCTGTGGGAGGCGTTCCGATCAGGAGGCGCACCATACACGGACATGGCAGTATGGGGACCGCATCATCATCGGATTCAAAAGAAGATCAGGCTCCGCGGCGTGAAGATCGCCCCCACGGGCGAGGTCACGTCGATCGAGCTCACCGGCCCTGCAGACTTCGAGGACTGGCGCGCCTGCTATGCGGTATTCAAAGTGGGCTGCATCATGTTTGAGCAGATTACCCCAGCGCGACTGGACGCATACGAGAAGCACCTACGTGGCTTACACGAACGATACGGAAGACAGTGCTGGGCTTTGATATACCAGGCAGACGTCAGAGCCAGGCTCGAGTTGTCAGAGCGACTACGCAGGATCGGAAAGGACGAGAAAGAGAGAGCCGACGCGACCAGCACGTTCCACGACTTCGACCCCGCCAAACCATGGGAGTGGGTATGGTCAAAGTTAACGAGCGACGTGCAGTTCTGGCTACGAGAAGTACAAGAACCTGCAGTACTCGTGTTGGCTCGCACGGCATCGCTGCACCAGATGATCGACCACGACGCGCCGATCATGCAGGCACCGCCGCCGCCCTCCAACGCCGCGTCGCAGCACCCGCCAGCTCTCCCAGGTGCACAGCAGCAACTCAAGAGGCAGAGGAGCGACGGAGGCGGAGGCGGCGGCGATCCTCCAGGCGGCGGCGGCAGCGGCAACAACACGGGCAGGATGCACAAAGTCGGTCCCGACGGTCTGTTCACGCACAACAGGAAGGGCATTGAGTTATGCAGATCGTACCAGACGGGCGAGTGCACGGAACACGACGCCAGGAATAATTGTTGCAGAATCCCTCGCCTCAAGCACCAGTGCGGCAAGTGCCTCTCCATCGACCACGGCGCCAACAACTGCGCGCTCAAGACGGCCCGTGAACCCCGCGCCAACAAGTCAGGCGGGCGCGGCGGTGGACGGGGAGGCAGAGGCAAGGGGGGCGGGCGGGGCTGACCCCCGCCCACGCCGCCGAGGGAGGTGGCGGCGCCCTCGGCGGACTCACTGCGAGAGCCGCAAGAGGATTTGGGTGAGTGCAAATCGGATCCTGGATTGAAGCGGCACTTGCACTCCAGCAAGGGCACTGGAAGACAAGTGAAGCTGAAGATAGATACCGAGACCACTCCAGATATCATCATCATCGATTCCGAGACCCAGACCTCCGAGTGCTACGACGCGAACAGCTATGCCACGGACCTCGGCAAGCCACTGCCGAAGGACCTCGCGACGGGCCTCAAGTTCTTGTACATGTTCAGCGGACCGACCGGACGACAGGACGGCTTTGCGCAGGCAATACGAGACATGGGCGGCGTATGTGAGGAATGGGACAGCATCAACGGCGACGAGCACGATCTCACGAGCGAGGAGAACTGGCGAAGACTTAAGGCATGTAAGAGCGAGTTCCACGGTATCCTGATGGCCCCCCCGTGCAACACCTTCACGAGAGCGAGAAGGAAACGAAGAGACGGCATCGGCGGACCACCGCCGCTAAGGGGACCAGAGGGACGTGATCGCTATGGCCTCAAGCACCTGAAGCCAGAAGACCAGGACAAGGTCAAGAAGGGCACGCTGCTCGCGCTGAGGGCGGGCGACATGCTCGCTAGCAGCCTCAAGGATGGCACGCCCATCATCAACGAGCAGCCACACTTCGACCCAGAAGACCCCGAGGACACGAGCATGTACAACCTGGACGAGTTCCAGGCGGTCAGGATGGCAGAGGGGGTCAGCCTGCACGACCTTGTCCAGTGCGAGTACGGCGCTAAGGCGGAGAAGCGCAGCTCCATCCTCGCGATCAACGTAGACTTGAAGGACGCCTTCGGCAAGTGCAGGCACAAGCCCCAGTGGTGGAGGCGCCCCTCCACGGGCGAGTGGCACCTAGGGCCACATTCGCCCCTCGTCGGCAAGGAGCGGATGATCCCCGCAGGCGAGTGGCGCAGGAGTATGATCCTGGACGACATGCAGTACCACGCCAAGTTTAAGGACGCCCCCTTTCTCACGAGCTCGGCGCAGGCATACCCAGCAGGCCTCAACAGGTACTTCGCGATCAAGCTAGCCATGCGAGCCAGGCAGATCGCGAGCAACATGCCCAAGACATCCACGCTCGTCAGGGTAGGGTACTGGCAGAACGCACTGGTCAACCAGCCGTCTCCCATCGGCACGCACCGCTCAGCCACCCAAGCAGGCATTGAGGGGCGCCAGAGGGTACCGGCCAGCACTGCTGGTACGCACTGCTCAGCACCACCTCGCCAGCAATCGGGGGCCAGAGGGCACCGGCCTTCGGGATGCGAAGACGGCTCGATCAGGGACGAAGCGCAGTCGAGAGGCAGCATCACGTTCAGCCATTCACTCAGAGGCGATCGCGTGGGCGATGTCAAGTGCAGAGAACGCGAGAACGAGCTATACATAGGGGGCATGAGACACCCCAGACAGAGCATCGGCAAGATGCAGGACTACGGGGCGATCAGCGAGCAGCTCAGGTACACCATCGAGCAGCACCTGAACGCCAACCCGCACATCCAGAAGGTATGCCTAGACGCCATTGGTTCCGAGGCGGACGCCGCGGGACCAGAGGCGGACACGCTGGACGACCTAGCCACCACCCTGGGCAGCCTGCTGGGAACGGAGGACACCAAGGGCGTGGCCAACGATAAGTACGACACGCCCATCCGAGCGGGCCTGTTAGCTGCTTGGGCCAGGCGAGCGAATGACATCGACGGCGAGCATGTCGAGGACTGGCTCAAGCACGGCGCCCCCGCAGGCATCGAGGTGGACACGGAGGATCCGGGCATCTTCCCGAAGGTGGACGCCACCATCGGGGAGCACGCGCTGGACACGCTTGACGAGCACGACGACGAGCCTGAGTTTCACAACTACTCGTCGGTAGACGGCGACCCGGAGGCAAAGCCAGAGATCGACCGGCTGAAAACCTCGAGCTACGTGACCACCTTCAAGTCGTACAAGGAGGCTTGCGCGTGGCTGGGCGCAAAGCCCAACGTGTCCAAGCTAGGCATGATCACGAAAGTCAAGAACGGCAAGATCAAGAGGCGGCTCATCCTGGATTGCAAGCAGTCCGGAGTCAACGCGACAGCACGGCAGAGGCAGAGGATCGTACTCCCGCGGCTGTCCGACGTGATTGACGACGCCCTCTACCTCTTGAGAGAGTGCCAGCACGAGCCCGAGCAGAACCTGGAGTGGCTAGTGCTGGACTTCACGGATTGGTTCTACAACATCCCGCTCAGGCACTGCGAGCGGAGGCACTTCGTCGCCTACTACGGCGGCGAGTTCATCATCTTCCTCACTATGGCCCAGGGCAGCGTGAACGCGCCGCTGGTGTGCGGACGGGTTGCGGCACTAGTAGCACGCCTCACGCAGTCGATGTTCTGGGCCACGGAGGTGCGGCACCACATCTACGTCGACGATCCGATCATCGCTGCGCGCGGCTTGCAGCAGCAGCGGGATAGGTACTTCGCGATCATCATCCTGACGTGGCGCACCTTGGGCCTCAAGCTCGCCTTCAAGAAGGCAGAGCGAGGCCAGGAGGTGGACTGGATCGGCGCCCACCTCACCTGCAAGACACTGCCAGAGCCCGCGATCGAGGTCACGGCCAAGCAGGACATCGTGGACGAGGTGCGCCACATGGTCACTGACATGAGGAGCTCGAACGTAGCGCCGATCAAGGACGTGCAGTCATTGGTTGGCAAGGCCAACCACATCGCGGGCATGATCGAGGCGTGGAGACCCTTCTTGCAGGATATGTGGAGCACGATCGCAGCCCACAAGCGAGGCGAGACGAGCAACGCCCCGCGGCAGTGCATCTGGACGAAGCAGATCGCACAGGCACTCGAGTGGATCCACGCGTTCCAGGCGGGCTCCCTCGGCACGCTCTCTCGAGTTTATCGAGTTCGAGCGTACTTCGGCTACTGCAAGCGGGTCGCCATCGTGACCGACGCGTCGCCCTGGGGCCTGGGCGGCTACCTCATGATCGAGGACGTCGTGAAGGCCTACTTCACGAGCCCCCTCACCCAGGCCGACGCGGACGTCTTGCGCGCCCCACTGGGGGAGGCGGCCGGACAGCAGGTCTGGGAGGCCCTCGCGATGCTGGTAGCGCTCCGCGTGTGGAAGCAGGTCTGGCTGCAGCAGGGCATCCGCCTCGCGGCGACGGCGGACAGCATCTCCACGCTGACCCTGCTGCTCAACTTCCGGGCACGGACGGCGTCCTACGGCCTGGGGGTGATCTGCCGCGAGATGGCGCTGGAGTTCGGCGACTGCGCCTACAAGCCCAAGGCCTACGTCCACCTTCCGGGCATCGCCAACGACGTGGCCGACGAGCTCAGCAGGCGCGCGCAGCCTGGGCACCAGGCGCGGCACCCCATCGCGCTGGAGGGCGCCGCCGAGTTCCACGTGGCGCCGCGCACGCTGAGCTTCTTCCGCGCCCTCCCGTCCGCTTCGCAGTTGCAGAGGACGGGGACGGGATAGCGCGCGGAAGCTGCATTTTAGTAATTGGCTAACGCCGATTTCGCCTGCAGCCTGCAGGCCCGAGTAACGTCTGTTGATGCATCTGTCTGCTACGGCAGGTTTGGAAAAGAGCCCCCCCCCCCCCTCACGTGGTCCTCCGTGAGTTTCGGTTGCCCGCGGCACGTGGTCACCCGTGGCGCTGCGCCCGATGGGTGGGGGGGGGACATTCACAACTGTATGAGCCGAGGGGCGGTGCCACCGAACCTTGGGGGTCGACATTCCACCTTTGCTCGTGGCCCCCTCGTGGTCGAGGGAGGGGACATCAACTTATGTCGCACGGGCCGTCGACCCCTGGTCTTTGGCCCCCCCTCGTGTTCGGTGTCAGATAAGGTCTTCTATCTGGCCCCCCTGGTCCTCGATTGGCTTTCGAGAGCCCCAGGGCCTGATGCCCGATCAGGAAAAGGACGCACACCGCGTAGGCATGCTCAGTAGCGTTCACTTGGAGAGTCTCTGAGGAAAATGGGCTACTAAACGACTGAAACGGCCTGCGGGCCTGGTGGGGGGGGGGGGGCCCGTCCCCCACGTCCGTAACTTTTGGCTCCAGCCCGACATGGGCAAGAGGAAGGCTTCAGGCATTCTCCCTTCCATCAGCCTCTCCAGTATCCGACAGGACCGCGGGCCGCCCATCTGCGCCGCGGGCTGCTCATCCGAGCAGAGCGGGGCCGCCTCGTCCAGCTGCGGGCCACGCCCGCCCGAGGGCGGGGACATCAGGCAGAGGCCGCGTCTGCAGTTCGCCGAGCGCTCAGACGCCCCGAGGGTCGAGTTCACGAGAGGCGGATCACAGCAGGCGGCACTGGCAGCGGCGAGGTCAGAGGATTCCAGACACGAGGCTTTGGCGAGATTGCAGGAGGACTTCGTCGCGGCCTCAGCCAAAGGAGCGAAGGACTCACTGCTTAAAACGTGGCAGACACTGCACATCAACTGGTTCGGCCCGCACACGCCAGTACTGCCCCTCACAGCTGAGAAGCTGCAGGCGGTCGGCGCGCTCTTCAAAGCGGGCAAGTACAGGTCGTTCGCGAACTACCTCACGAAGATCAAGGAGCTGCACCTGGAGCAGGGTGGCGAGTGGTCAGACCAGCTCGACCTGGAAGCGAGGCGCGTCACTAGATCCGTACTCAGGGGCATCGGGCCAGGCAACCAGAAGGAGCCGATAGACCTCACTGCGATCGTCCAGCTAGCCAAGGACGGCAAGATCAGCGACCTACCCGTTACGCCAGCTGGACCAATTGGCCCTGGGAACATGACGGCGGCAAGCGTGTTCTTCATGCTGCGGGAGATCGAGAGTTCGCTCACGCTGTACGCTAATGTGATTATCGACGTAGATCGCCAGGAGGTCAAGTGGATTCTCCCAGGCTCGAAGGCGGACCCTTCAGCTCTGACTACGTCGCGTGCGTGGGGCTGCTTGTGCGAGGCAGCGTCTAGCTTCGCATGCACGTTCCACGCGGCCAAGAGGCAGAAGGAGCTGGTACACCGCAGCTTCGCCGACCCGCAGGGAGTCACCCCCCCAGGATTGCCGTTCTTCCCGACGATCACGGGCAAGACCGTCCAGAAGGAGGAGGTGGTGGCCACGTACGAGACCATGTACACCATGGCGGGCCTCCCCATCAAGGACGCGGACGGCAACAGGCTCCTGGGCGGCCACTCTGCGAGGTTGGGCGGAGCCAGGATGCTGGCGTCCGTGGGCCTGCACGTCTACCAGATAGAGTTGATGGCGAGATGGCACTCGCCGATGCTGCTACACTACGCCAAGGAGGCACCACTGAATAAGATCACGCAGGACTTCGTCGAGAAGAAAAGCCTTCTACATGTCAATGAGGCGCTGCAGGCACTACGAGTACGGCTAGATGAACTAGCCACAAGAGAAAAGCAGGAGGCCGGCGCGGCTTCACGAGAGGCCATCAGCCAGCTCGAGGCGAAGATCAACGAGGTCGACTCCAAGACGGCGGCGGCGCTGCAGAAGGAGATCAGCGACCTCAGGAGCGGGCTATGCACGCCCGCGAAGGGCGCCATCATCAAGAACAACGCGACGGGCTCCTGGCACGCCGTCGCGATCGAGGGAATGCATATCGAGCCGGACCTGTGGCGTACCAGATGTGGCTGGAAGTTCAGCAGGTCGAGCTACTCGAGGCGGGTCGGCGACCTGCCAGAGGACGTCGACCAGAAGCGGGTGTGCGAGAAGTGCTTCGGGGTCCGCGTGGACGGCTAGTTCGAGGATCCCTCCTCTCGCCTCATCCTCCAGTTTTAGTTTCAGTTTAGTTATGTCCATCCCCCCCTGGAGGTCGGGGGATCAGCCAACTGCAGGAAGGCGCGGGCTCCCGCCTTGGGCCGCGGCGCGGGCCCCCCGCCGCGGCGCCTGCTCCCTCGCCTCCGCCTGAACCTCCCTCACCACCGTCTGAAAAACATGGTAGGGCGGGAGGGTTTGAAATCGAGAGGGGTAGGGATGTTGGACATAACAGAGCGTAGCGGTGCGGGGGTAACATCCCCCCCTCGAGAGCATAGGAGGGTGGGCGGGCTTGCGGTGTCCGAAACCATTTTGGCTCAAGGTTTCGGGCATCGTCCGCCGACCCCCTCTCCCGAGGGGAGGCGATCCCCCCTCGTCCTCTCCTTCTCCGCGCCCACCCGCCCGAAGGAGTTTCAACTTCAGGGGGTTCGAGGAGTTCGGGGGCAGGAAGGCGCGGGCTCCCGCCTTGGGCCGCGGCGCGGGCCCCCCGCCGCGGCGCCTGCTCCCTCGCCTCCGCCTGAACCTCCCTCACCACCGTCTGAAAAACATGGTAGGGCGGGAGGGTTTGAAATCGAGAGGGGTAGGGATGTTAGGAGGAGGAGGAGGAGGAGGAGGAGGAGGAGGAGGTGGAGGAGGAGGAGGGGGAAGAGGAGGAGAAGGAAAGAGAATGAGAAGAGGATGAGAAGGGAGAGGAGGAGGAAGGAGGGAAGGTAGTGAGGAGGCGAAGTGCGCGGAGTGAGGACAGGACATTAAGAAGGAGAAGTAGGAGTAGACGGAGGATGAAGAGGAAGCAGGGAAGGAATCGAGGGAGTAGGATGAGGAGGAGGAGGCGGATGAGGAGGAACGTAGGATGAGGAGGCATTAGAGGAAGAAAAAACGAAACACAGCACGAAGGAGAGGGAGCACGAGGAGGTGGAGGAGGAGGAGGAGGAGAAGGAGGAGGAAGACGAGGAAGGAGCATGCTGAGGAGGAGGAGGAGGAAGAGGAGGAGGAGCAGGAGGAGCAGGAGGAGGATAACGAGGAGGAGGAGGAGGAGGAGGAGGAGGAGGAGGAGGAGGAGGATGCTGGTGA